CATGAAGACCTAGATACGGGGAGCTAATGGTAGTTCCTGAAACTTTGCATTCCCTCCTCTTGCCTTTGTTAATGAAATCCATCTTCAAGGATGTCCATCATTGCTGTGCCCAGAATGGCAACAGACAACTGGAAAAAATAGGCATAAATTAGGTAAAACTTAATCTCATCTGGTGTCCTCCACACAATGAGTTATGTGCCACGTTAGAAACATGCATGTTTCTAGTTCCATCCAGTCTTCCCACAAGAAAGCCATGATGTGGGGCTAGGCCATGTGTTTTGAGTAAAGTAGAATAGAGTGTCTAAAGGAGGCAAAAGGAAGATGTTGCAAAGAAATATAATAAAACATCAGCATCTGTTCTCAAAACTAAAAAAAAAAATGAAAAGGATGACAGTGTATAGCTATTATGTTTTTGATCCTAAGTTGAATTCATAAACCCTGATCTTGCCATCTTAGTCTTCTCTTGTCTGTCGTATTTTTATTCTTTGTTAGTGCATGTGGTAGGTCACTAATATTTCTGGAAGATGCAGATCCTGATCTACTCTGAGAAATACTTCTGAACTGAAATTTCACATTTGTATAGAAACAGATAAATGTCTTCATCTGCTCCAATTAGATACATTGCGTGGTGGCAGAAGACTAATGAGTAATTGTTTAGTTGCTGTCTCCTTTTTGAAAACTTTTTATTTTGAAATAACTTAAGACTCTCAAGAAGTTAAAAAAAAGTGTAGAAATGTTCTTACCCTAGATCTAGTTTTCCCTAATTGATAAAATTTACATAGCCCATTTCAACCACAGAAACCATAGTCCCTTTTGAACCATTTTCAAAATCAGAAAATTGACATTGGTGTAATACTGCTAACTAAACTACAGATTTTATTTGGATTTCACCACTTTTATACATATATTCCTTTAGGTACTGAATTCTTTTGAGTTTTGTGAGTGCCATTTTTTAAGCTGCCCTATTGAAGGGTCACAAGACTATAACAATGTGTGTCTTATAAAATTCCTAGCACATAAGTGAACACTTGATAAATATTTTCCAAATGTTGTTTTTTGAATGAATAAAAGTTGGGGACAAAAACCCTGTCATCTAGTATAACTAGGGTGACGTTAGTGAGATTGCTTTGTTGTAACAGAAATTTTATTTTCAAATAAGAGGACATAGTGCTCATTCTTGTACCAGGTAAAATACATTCTCCATCTGCACACTTGGAAATAGCGAAATTGATCTATGGAAATGCTTCATTCTTTGAGGTAATTAGACAGCAGTGCAAGGTAGTTCTCAACACTGTACCAGATTAAAAGCAAGGACCAAACTCTGGCTCCAAACCTAGTTTCTCCTGTAGACACTTTGTCAACATCTTTACAGGTGAAGGGATTTGCCTCCCAAGCTAGCCTGTGCATGTTAAGGAAGAATTTGAAAATAATAACAACAACAAAAACACACCAAAAACTTACGGCAGAGTATGTTAGGATGAGGTACTCATTTGCACTGTAAAATTGTTTTTTCAAGGAAAGGTTTGGAAGTAACTGAAAGTTGGGAAAATTATTGCATACACACCAAGAATCTGTAAACTAGCCTAACAGTTCTTTACTGTTCATGATATCCTATTTTTTCCCCCTGTTGTCTGGTAATTTTTTTTGGAGGACTGAGTTTCTGCAGCAATGATGAGGAAACATCTGGGCATTATTCCATAGGCTTTGGAGGATAATGTGTCTCATCAAGGGGTAAACAGCAAATGGATTTAATTTTTGCTTAAAACTATTATAGTCATTCCAAAATAGAATAAGTAAAAATTCTCTGTATTAGAAAAAGAAACATGATACCATTTGTATATTTTCTTTTCTTTATTTATTCTCTGTCTGTCAGATGATAAATTGTAAATAACAATGATTAAAGAGTTATGATACTAATGAATCCTTATTTCTGTGTAAACATCACCTGAGATTTCTTACATCAGTTTTGGAGAAGTAATGGGACATGGGGACAGAGATAGGGAAGTTATACAGTATAGTATGGCTGTCTCTTGCTGAGGTTGTCTGACAGGGTTATTTAGATAGGCTTCTAACACCTTAGTTGAATGTTTATTGGAAGAAAAACATTCTAGTCTCTGACATATCCAAATATACCAGAGTCTGTGATTTTATATCCTCAAATTAATTATCCAGTTCTGAGGAAACCAGTCTAGAGTTTATTGGGGACCTTTCTTGTTATTGTTACAGAGTTATCTATACAAATCCCTGCTAAATCCAAATATGGTCTGTCTTAGATTGTACACAATGCACAAACCAACAAAATTATACACAATCAGAATATAGACTCAGTTTTCATGTTAGATATTAGTGTGAAATCAGTCAACATAATACATTATTTTTAGCCTGAAGAATAAAAATAAATTTATATTTTCAATTATCTAAGTAACATGAACACATTTCTTTCAATAGTGGTCATGGTAGATAAGGATATATATATAGATAGATAGATAGATAGATATAGTTGCTACATTTACTATTCAAATAATAGGAACCGAGATTTGTCAGTGATAGATGGAATCATTGTTTGCCTGGTTTCCAGGAAAACAGAATGAGCTCTGCACAACGAAAACCTATTCATCTTGAGATTATAAAAACATACCTTCCCAAACTCATCTACTTAGTAAAAAATATGTTCCAATATTTATTGAGCTGTGTTTTATGTGCCATAACATTTTTAAAATACAAAATTAAATGACATTTATTAAAAATGGTTTTATTCTAGTAGGTTAGCCCATCTTTCAAAGCTCACAGCACCCTGAAAAAAGCAGATTATACTAAAAAAAAAAAAAAAAGGAAAAAGAGACCAAAGTTACTTCATTCAGTTAAATGGAAGTCATAAGGGATGAGACCCCGATGCCCTTGCTCTGCAGTCAAATGGCCTTCACATAATTCACACTTCATCCTACACTATCATCGCAAGATTGTGGTAATGCTGAACCTCTGGAGTCTGTACCCTCTACTTTCTGTGTAGAAATTAATTTTCTTTGGGATGGCCACACATCTCTCTTTCCTCTCTTACTCCTTTCACATGTGCCTGCTGAGCTCCAGGACATTTTAAAAGTGTTTGATTTATATTCTCAAGATTGGGGTTAATATCACTCTGATACATTTAGAAAATATTGATGAACTGTGGTCTCTTCAGAGCAATTGAAAGTGAGATAACAATGAAAGTTGAGTCCCACCTCAATAATGAAAAATTTTTATCTAGGAATCTAATGTTCAAATAATCAGATTCGCTTTTTAAAATCTAATTTTATTGGCATAAGATAAATGATTACTCTCAGTGGTATTATTAATCAAAACGTCTAGGATCAAAAACCAATACCAATTATCCCAGTGTCTTAGGGATCATAGCTGTTCATAAGTAATTGAAATTTTGAAGGAGGCCATGGAGTGGATTAAAGCATGTTCAGTAGTTTGATGTATGATGATATACAGTTTAATTCAGTTAACAGGGCATGGTAATGGTTCTTCTGTCTACTCGAAATATAGAAACCTAGAGGAAACATTAGAAATTTTTTACAGCCGTTTGGTAGAGTACTTTTATATGTGTTGATTCTAATAAAAAAAAACTAGGGCTCGTAATTTGTATGAATTTTGTTTTTAATTTTTCCAGTAATTTTTTTGTTTTTCGTATTTTCCAAAAATACGTATATGGAATGGCTTGGAAACAAAAAACTACTTCTTGGCCAGAAAGAGTTTGAGAGGCATTGATGTAGATTATAGTATATTTTCAGTACATCATTCTGAGAATGAAGTTCTGAGAATATCTGATTCCATACCACATTCCAATCTTTGAAGATTGATATTTCATGCATGATTCTACATAAAATTCTTAATAAAGTCAATGTTCATTTTCCAAAAGAGGATTAAGCTGGATCTATACACTCAAAAAACAGTGGAAAATTTCTCATTTTTCTGATTGTACAGGTTGCAGAATCACATTGGTCATACAGTCACCTATGTACATACAGCAATAATAATGTCTATTTTATTCTGCTGCCCTTCCTATCCTGCCTTCCCCTCCCCTCCCATCACTTCTCTCTACCCAATCTAATGTGACACACTTTTTTTTTAATTAGTTACAAATTGTAATCACATTATTACTTGCATAAGTTAGGTTGACTTTTTAAATGTGTTAAATGCAAAGAACTCTAAATAATGCAATACTATCCATTTTAATACAATGTTCATTTTACATGAGACAAGTAAGTGATCATTTTAAATTTATTTTGTTAGAAAGTTTCAAGCATTTATCTTTATTTCTTAATTTCCTCACTTTCCCTTTATCCCTCTTATTTTTTCTTAATATGAGAGATTTTTTTTTGATAAAATGATAAAATACAAAACATACAAATATTTCTTCCAAATTTCACAATTCATAAATAAGAAACTCACATATATTCAGATTTTCTATTTTAGGCAATATTTTTCAAAAGTTAATATATACTTCAAATAATCATGTATAATATGCATTATTTTTACTTGATGACATCTTAAACATTGTTGCACATTACTAATAAATGTGATAAACATAAAAAAAAAAAACAGTGGAAAAGCACATAATCCCTGAACCTTAGCTCCTGTATCTATCCCTTTTCTCTAATACAAGCTCGGGTGCAACCATCCTAAGGCCATTCTGAGGCTCCAGTACATCCACTCTGTGCGAGCCACCGCAACCCATGCTCTGCTCAAAGAGCCCCACCACGCGGAAAAACGCAGCTGCCGCAAGCCCGGAGCAGCTGGGCGGGAGGCACCTGCGCCCCGGAGTAGGCGGGGACTTCCTGGATTGGCTTGACGCTCTGCGTCACGCGGCTCCTCCCCTCGGCCTATCTCACTCCACCCGGCCTAGGCTTTGCGCGCCGACGGCAGACTGCGATTGGCAGGCACGGTGTGGAGTCGATGACGCAAGAGTCCCGATCGGTCCCCCATTGGTGGGCGTGCGCCTGGGTGCAGCCTCTCTGGGGGCGGAGCGGGGGAGGAGGGAGGTTCCAAAGTTAGTATGAATTCGCAGGGGTTCCGAACGCTGAGGTGAGGACCTGCTTTACTGCCGGGCTCTTGAGTGTGCGAAGATGCGAAAGGTGGTTTTGGTCACCGGGGCGAGCAGGTGAGGGCCCTTTGGGGATTGCAGAGGCTGCGTTCTGGGGTCGGAGGGAGCAGAAGCCGGCGACCTGCCGTTGACAACCCGGGCAGTTGCCTGTCTTTGAATTTGCTCCGTTGGGGACTTGGGCCGAGACCCCGTCCTACTATTCTCTGGTTCCTTCGCCAAGGTATGGGGCATGCTGGCCCCTTGAGGTACTCCGAAACTGGTGCTTTGAATTAAACATGGCAGTGAAAGGGAGAACTACACCACCAGTAAGTCGTCAGGGTTGCTTGTGATTATCCAGGGAAAAGGAAGATTCCTACGCGGACCCTGCACACACCTTTGACCCACTCTGAAGTATACACTGTGAATTCCTGAAGTTTAGTTCGGTGCTGAGCACGTGGCCATGTCCTTATGCTCCTAGTTTTAAAATTTCAACTTCCATGAGCATCAGGAGCCTGCGCGCGCGGTGGGGAGCTGGTGTCTTATTTCATTTCACACAGCACTAATACATACTCTGTAATACAGAGTATATGATAGGAACATAGGAAAAAATGATTTCCTGTTAAGGCATAGTCCGAGTGCAAAGTAATTAGCTCATAAATATTCCGGGATTGCTCACCTGGACTCTCAGCCTCCTTTATTGACTGACTGTTTTACAAAGTAAATTTGTACTTTCACGAAGAATGTGTGGAGGATGAAATCAATCAATCCATTTTTCTACTAATTGCTTTTTGGCGTTTTGAGAGATTAAGACAGAAAATATGGTAAATGTCATTTAAGATTGCCCTGCTTCAGTTATATAACCATATTCATATTAACTAAATCAATTATGTAGGTGTCTGCCATGCACAGTTTTTCCGTATGCCCTCTACTTTGCCAACGGGGGATAAATAAAGCAGGGTTGACTTAGTGTTTGCTTCTTTTTCATATATTGTGATATGTGCAATTTTATATTTAAAGTCCTGTTATTCTTTAGTGAAGATGAATAAACATAACATTCTTGATGCAGCATTGGTAGTACCAACATATTACTGATGGTTTCAGGCTCTTTTTGGAATTCTAATATTTAATTTATTGCCCCGGTTTTCATTAGTCCCAGCAGATGATCTGACTGCTGTCGCCATCTAGTGGGAAGTTTTATAGTGCTCTTTCTGAAGTAGTTTATTTAAAGTCTAAGCATACTTGACCCTGCATCTCTTTCTTGGTCCCCATCTAATATTTATTGCTACCTCCTATTCAATAATACTGAGTTCTTTCTCTTTGTAGTGGTTATTCAGCCACAGTAATCGAGAGGGACTTATACCTCCTGCCTGTCACTGATGCCTCTTTCTAAAAAACTCATTTATTCCCTTATCAGGGATTTCTGGTGCTCCTTATAGTGGTGATGGTACCAATAGGTGGTGGAGCCCTGGACCTTGAAGAATGTAGACAGCAAAATAAACCATAAGCACAAGAAACAGCTAATAAAATGCTCTTTTCAACACTTGCTAGTAATGTATCACTTTCATGAATAGCACACTAAATACATAATGAAAACCAGTTTTTGTGCCATTGAGATTTTTTGGAATGGGAGAAACAAACAAGACATCATCCTGAACAAATGACTATTTGAGTGGCAGATTCCTCTTTTCTTTAAATAATGCTTAAGTATTTTTTTTTCTCTGTCTCTACTCCTCCTTGGAGCTCAATTTGATACAGTCAGAAAGAAATGCCTTTATTTAGCACCATCTGAATTTACATATATCTTGTACCTGAATTGCTTTCTCAGTGGCATCGGCCTAGCCCTTTGCAAGAGGCTTCTGGCAGAAGACAATGAGCTTTACCTTTGTTTGGCGTGCAGGAACACGGGCAAGGCAGAAGCTGTCCGTGCTACTCTGTTGGCCTGTTACCCCTCTGCTGAAGTCACCACTGTGCAGGTGGATATCAGCAACTTAAAGTCAGTGTTCGAGGCTGCCAAAGAACTTAAGCAAAGGTATGTCTCCTATTGTCACATTTCTCTCTCATGTGATTGTGTAACATAACATTTAATAAAATATCAAAGGATAGGAAAACTTTGAACAGGTCAGAAGTTATGCTGAGAAAATCTGTAGAGTGATCCTCAATACATCTCAGTTTCATTTCAATACATCACATTTTCATTCTCAGTCATGAAGATAAATTTGTGAATATACCCTGATATATGGTCAGTTGTAAAGGCTTAAATTAATGTAACTCCTTTGATATTTGAACCTATTTTTACATATTTCTTCCACATAACAAACTCACTAATTGATAGGGAGAGTATTGATATTTAACACTTGATGAAACTAATACAGAAATAGGAGTGATATGCCTAATAGGATCATGTAACTTTATCTGGTTGGGCTGTTCTAAAGCTCAGTTCTCTTCCTTGCTCCTAAGAAATCTTTTTCCCCAGGCAGTAAAGATTTCTTCATATCTGTACAATAATTGTCATGTGATAGGCATTTGATGAGTATTTTGGTATATGAAGGAATAGAGTCCTTGGGTGTTTAATTTCCCTGGAAGTGCACACAGAATTGTGCCTTGGTACACAGTACATTTTTTTTCTGGATTCAGAGGATCCTTTCTTTAAATTCTAAGAGGAATTTATGATCTCCAAAGGTTATAAATCCTACAGTAAAAATACGAGTGAGCCATAGTGTTATCCACATTGATTAATTTTCATACTTTTTTATTTCTTTTTAAATAATTGAGGCCTTTACGAAACAGGAAACTACTTTATTTCCTTGTACAGTAGAGGAAATGTGATAGATACAAGGAAGGTGTTCTTGGTAAAGACATTTCCTGGACAATAATACTTTGTATTTTATTTTTGTGATTTCATAGTCATTTGCATTTCCCTGTCACAAATGCACAAGTTATGAAGCTGTATTTTCACCCCACTCCTGTTCTCTATGGCCTTGGACCTTGTGCATCCAGTTTCTCTCTCTTGCTGAATTTCTGGAGTTTTCTGTCACATTATATTTCTAAAAAAAAAAACAAGGAGATTTTATAGGTTCTACTTTCCAATAAATTGTGATATGTTTTATACCCCTTATTCTTCCATAACTTAGACAGTCTTCAAGCCGAAACTGCATGAAGATTCTTTATAGAGTTACAAACAGGACTTAGAAGCAGAATACTACAGTGGCACAGCCACATCAATGTTTGCAGCAGCTCAGTTCACAATAGCAAAGCTATGGAACCAACCTAAGTGCCTTTCAACAGTCAAATATAAAGAAAATGTGATATATGTACACAATAAAATATTACTCAGCCGTAAAGAAGAATTAAATTATGGCATTTGCTGGTAAATGGATGAAACTGGAGACTATCATGCTAAGTGAAATAATAATTCAGTCCCCCCAACCAAAGGCCAAATGTTCTCTCTGATATATGGATGTTAATACACAATTGGTGGTGGGGTGGGGAAGAATAGAAGTTCATTGGATTAGACAAAGGGTAATGAAGGAAGCGGGGGATGGGAATAGGAAAGACAGTAGAATGAATCAGACATAACTTTTCTGTGTTTATATGTGAATACACAACTAGTGAAACTTGACATCATTTACAACCACAAGAATGATATCCTAATTAGAATAAGCTATATGCCATGTGTGTATAATGTGTCAAAATACACTCTACTGTCACGAATATCTAAAAAGAATAACAACAACAAAAACCTGAGTCAGGAGAGAAATTTGCAGGCCTTCTTTCCCCAGACCTTCCTAGCCAGCTAGTTATCTTACTTAGTATAAATTGAATTATTTTTTTTCCTTTTCTGGTGGAAAAGAACCTTCATCCTTTGTGAAAAATGGTCCATGTCAATATAATTGACTTTTGAGATGTTAAGTTTTAATATTTGTAATATGGACTATTCTTAGTTGCCTTCAAAGACTCAAGATATTTGGTAATCTTTTGCAAATTTAGTAATATAATGAGATATTTAGTGATTTAGCACAAATTTAAGGCTGTGTAACAGAAGGGAGCATTGAAGAGGGTAAGATGGCAGTTGTCTCAGTTGCCTGTCGTCAACTTTTAGTGCAACTTTGATGTATTTGTTTAATCCACAAAATCCTTTCTCTGGGATGGGCAGCATTGCCTGGTTTTAGGAAATGGTGGTGATAGTGATATTCATGAATTTGGGAATATTTGAAAGTGTATGGATAGATCTCTTGCCTATGTAGACCCTACATACTATACCTAATGGCCCAAATGGATATTGTTGGTTCTGATCCTGAAGTAAATTTGAGACGAGAGCTTGAGAAGGATCCCTTCAGCAGCACCATCCTTGAAAACTGGTCTTTCCATCTATAATACTCTGTTTTATTAGATATGTGCAGTTTAAAACTCATAAGAAATAGTGATTCTCATGTATCCAGAATAGAGCAACTGTGTCAATCATTTCATCTTTAAAAATATTTTGTTCTTTTATTGAAGCCAGAGCTTAATTTGATGTTCTGGTGCAATGTTTACTCTTCACTAAGCATTTTGTCTTCATTCCTAGCAAAATAGATTAATAGTCTTAGATGGAAGTTTGAAAATTAGATAATGGAACCATAAACAATAGCTGGAACTATTTATTATCTTTATGGCCCTTGTGTGATAAACTGATCTTAATAAGACCAGTGTTTAAACAGCTTAGTAACTAGAGTCTTTTGACTGTTAATTATTTATAAGATGAATAAGAAATACTTATGTGTGATCTGAATTGGCAGCCATATATGTATTTCAAGGTCCAGTTTTAATAGCTATGGCCCTGTCCTTCTGTCTATACAGAAGACACAGTGTGTACATAGAATTATAGGAATTATTTTTAATATGCATGGTACCTTTGAGTATCATGAGAAGAGGCTCCACTCATCTTGAACCTAGTTCAAAAGGGGTACACTTAGATTTAGGTTTATATAGGTTTAAAAATGAAAAAGTTTTCTCAAGTCACCATTTTACAGTTCCCTCCACAAGTATTCTGGACCAAACTTTCCAAGAATATCTTACCCCCATTCAGGTCTTATAATGTCACCATATGATAGTGAACTTTCATCATTTTATGGTAAATAGTTCTTGTCCATGAATGCTGAATGGCTTCCATGTGGGTCCTCCATTTTTAGTAGACATCTTGGCCTTCAGATAGGCTAGGCCAGATCTATTATATGTGATATAAATTTCATTTGTCAACTAGGGGGGATGGTGAACTAATTAATTAACCAACTAACTAAATGCAAGGAAAAAAAAACTTTGTAATAACAAGAAAACAGATTAAGAGAGGGTTGCTGCACTTCCTAATTGGAAACCTGAAAGGGTTTATTGATCAGAGAAGATTTGACTTTCAAGCCCATGGAAACCAGTGTCAAAGCAGAGAAACAAAGAGACAAACAAAAACCAAAAAAAAAAAAAAAGTTAAAGAAAAAAGAAAAACTCAAACATTTACTGGGGCTAAAAAAAAAGAAAAATGCTATAACACTGTCTTATTTATTTATCTTGAAGTGGCCATCTTAATTAGCCAGAAAATTTTTCCTGTTCTCAGGCCTTCTATACTCTAGAGATAGAATACACTACCTTTTGTCTTCATATTCTAACAATCTTGTCTTAATGTTTTACTTGCAGGTTTCAAAGATTAGACTATGTGTATCTAAATGCTGGAATCATGCCTAACCCACAGCTAAATATTAAAGCATTTTTCTCTGGCCTCTTTTCAAGGTAATTTCCATAATTTTCTAGGTGAATTGATTGAAAGAAAGGAATTCTTTTTTTTTTTCCTAATTTTGTCTTTGGTGTGTTAAATTGTGGGGAATGAAAGGCAAAGGAACGTTGGGAAGGATGAAATCATACAAAGCAGGTGTTACAACCAGGTCATGAAAGAAAAGCATTCATTTTTTCATGCAACTTCCTTCTTATGGTATTTTAGGTCTCTAGGACATTCCAAGTGGTTGGATGTTTCAGGATGTTGGGTTTTGGTCTGCCTCAGAGTGCCTATTTGCAGGATCATTTCTACATTAGAGTTTCCAGGGAGACTCCAGGCTCACAAAGGCTGCTTTGGAAGCTTTTCCTTAGCTGTATGTCAGGTGCTCTGACTGGTAGCTGGGAGAAACTCAAAGAACTAGTGTTTACTTGGGAGTTTCTCGATACACATTGATGTATTGGCTTTCAAAAATGTTTACCTGGGGCTGGAGTTGTGGCTCAGTGGTAGTGCACTCCTCTGGCATGTGTGAAGCACTGAGTTTGATCCTCAGGACCACATAGAAATAAATAAATAAATAAAATAAAGGTATTGTGTTCATCTACAACTAAAAAAAAAAAATGTTAAAAGAAAAACCTGTTTACCTGGGTTGGGAGCATAGCTCTGTGGTAGAGTGCTTTCTTAGCATGCTCAAGACCCTGGGTTTAATCTCTAGTACTGCAACAAGTAAAATCATAAACCAGAGTAAGAAATGTCTTGTGACTCGGTACACTTATTTATAAATACATATTTTTATTGCATGCTTTTCTTGCATTAAAATATACACAGACAAATCCCACATTGTAGTGGCACCCCCTTCTTCACAGGAAATCTTAAATTAAGCTTCTCTAGAGACCCTCACCATAATTGCTCTTAGACTATCAGAAAAAAATTCTGAAAGAAGTTTTTAGGCAGGAGATATGTTTGCTGAAGCAGAGTGTGATAAGACTAACCCAAACACTGGAGAAATCCTTGAAAACTAGCTGCTGAAGGAAAAGGGAGAAAAACTCTCCCTATCCCAAGCACTGCTTTTTACAGAGAATATCCTTGATTTATTTGTATCTAGACTGGGTTAACTGCCAAGTACATTAGAGAAAAAACAAACAAACAAAACTACTTTTATGTGGACTTCTACAGATTGTGAACCTCTGAGCTCCCCCTCCCCCTGTACACTGGGTATAAAATTCTAAATATTTCTAAACTCAAGTGTTCAGAAGAAGAATTCTTAGGCGAGACCTACCTCTGAACCCTGCAGCCAATAAACCTGCTTCCTGCTATTCCTCAGTGTCCAGAACACTGGTCTTGACCTGCTAAATTGACTGCGTAGCAAAACAGCATATTACTATGTTCAATGCTCTTAAAATTCCTAGTGAAAAAGCAAACCTGCCTATTTTTTTTTTTTTTTAAGCAGTTAAACTCTATGCAGGTAGACTTTTTTCTCTTGGCATAGCTGTTTTCCTTCAGAACAGTTTATCATTAACCTGATTTGGAAAGAGGTGAAGAGAGTGTTTGCTAGAAGCAGGTTTTGAGAGACATGGCTTCCTTTTGGTAGTGGAATGGTAAGAATATAAATATTTCCATGAATTTGGGGAAAGAAAGCTTTTTTTTTTTTTTTTATCTCATTTAATACTCAGAATAACCCTGTCTGAGAAACTGATATTTCTATTTCTGTCATTATAGACTCAAGGAAGCTGTAGCTTGTGTGTATGTGTTGGTGGGGGAGTGGGGCAAATGGGGAGTGTCTTTAATTTAATTAAAGAAGCTTTAAAAAGTCATACCACTGTCTTTTGCTGTTTCAGAAAAGCGATTCATATGTTCTCCACAGCTGAAGGACTGCTGACCCAACAGGATAGGGTCACTGCTGATGGGCTTCAGGAGGTGTTTGCAACCAATATCTTTGGACACTTTATCCTGGTAAAAAAAAGACTTAACTAAACCCATATTTAGTGCTATGATCCTAAGGGCTTGCATGGACACATTACAGTGATTTTTTTTTTTCTTTCGTTTTTAAGCTCATTAGTTTATGGTTAGCATTAAATATTTGAGTATTTAAATATGGTGATCAGCTGGGCAGTGACACAGGCCTGTAATCCCAGTGCCTCGGGTGTCTGAGTCAGTAGAATTGAAAGTTTGAGGTCAGCTGCAGCAACTTAGTGAAATCCTGTCTACAAATAAAAAGTAAAAAGGCTGGGGATGTAACTCAGTGGTAAAGTGCCTCTGGTTTCAGTCCCCAGTACCAGTAAACAAATAAACAAGTAAATAAATAAGGTAATCACTTTATTTCACTTGACTTTTTGAAAACATTGTTTCCCTATAGTAACCTATTGATATATAATTTTTTTTTCTTTTAACAAGGACTGTAGCGAATCGAGATAGAAAGTGGAAAATGTACAGTAACCTTCATAAATAATGTATAGAACTGAGATAAAGCATACCAGTTTTTATTTTATTTTATTTTTTTTTTTCTTTTTGGTTCTGAGGATTGAACTCAGGGACACTTAACCACTTGAGCCACATCCCCAGCTCTTTTTTTTTTTTAACCTTTATTTGCTTATTTTTATGTGGTGCCAGGGATGGCACCCAGTGCCTCACGCATGCTAGGCAAGTGCTCTACCATTGAGCCACAACCCTGGCCCCTCAGCTCTTTTTTATATTTTATTTCACTGAGTTGCTTAGGGCCTCACTAAGTTGCTGAAGCTGACTTTGAACTCAAGATCCTCCTGCCTCAGCCTCCAAACCACTGGGATTAAGGCATGCGCCACCATGCCCTGCTACCTATTCTTAATTCTAAGTAGTCTTTGGAAGTGTGCTTGGCATCCAATAGTTTGGGATGGTAGACAAGCCATTATTAAACAGTAATACATAGTTAATTTTTTATTTTCATGATTTCTGACTTCTTAAGCATTAGCACTTTGATGTTATAATTTCAGGCATGCATATAAAGTTAAACATGAGATGTGTAGCTTATCTAGCATGCTCTATGCTCTTGTCCCAGGAAGGGACAAGGGCAGATCATCTATAGAAATTACTTGGAATTTTTCTGGCAATAGAGATTTGTGTCTTTTCCATTTCTAAATCTTTCTTTATTTGATCATCTTTTTATATCCATATGGACTCATGGATGTACAATTTCTATTTGGTTCTTTCAGTTGGTTCCCCCATCTCTTGTACTTTTATGCCATTGTTTGAGTTTCCTGGTTTTGTTCTAACTTTCATTTAGAGCACTTTCTTTCTTTTGGGCACTGTAGGGTGCTTCTTGTATTTTCTGCCTTGATCCTAGAACAGCTGTTTCTCTAAAGAGATCTGGTTCCTTTTATTGGAAAATTGTTATCAGAAAACAAGATCTGGGTGCTTGTTACTATTGAGATGTCAATTGCTTCATGCCCCTCTGCTAAGGAGATAAGTATGTGCATGTGAACTCATGGATGCATACATATCTATTTTATATGTAACTAATCTGTATTCCTATAAGGCTGGACATGAGTTAATACTGATGTCTCTAATTTCTTCCTCATGGATCATTCTAGCCTCCTTCTCTTTCTTATTTGTGACTTTTTTCACTCCATCAGTGACAAAACTGGTTCTTTCCATTTTCAATCCATGTATGTAATAATTCAATTCCAGTATACAGATGTAGTACTTTCAAAATTGTTATCCTGTACCGCTCAGCAGATTTTGATACTTTTTTGTTCTTTTTTTTTTTTCCTTTCAGATTCGGGAACTAGAACCTCTCCTCTGTCACAGTTATAATCCATCTCAACTCATCTGGACATCATCTCGGAATGCAAGGAAATCTAATTTCAGTCTTGAAGACATCCAGCACAGGAAAGGCCAGGAACCCTACAGCTCTTCCAAATACGCCACTGACCTTCTAAATGTGGCTTTGAATAAGCACTTCAACCAGCAGGTGAGTCCTGTTTCAGTGCTAAGGAAATGGCAGAATAGTAGTTTCTTAATTACAATCTATTTCCTAATAATATGACTGGTTTCCCACTTACTATTGTAGTTTAGAGTGAGAGTTGGTATACATGAAAGCTTTGGAACAGAGATGATTAGTTCCTGATCTTGTATTTTTATGTGGTTCATTTATTATAATGTAGTATTTAGGAACTCCAACCTGTTAAGAGAATGACACTATTAACAATAACAATAGCCACTATTTAAGTACTTACTGTCAGGTGTTCTTCTACTTTTTATCTTGTTTGTTATTTATTATCTTCCCTGTGTAGTTAGGTGGGTCTGATTATTACCATATTTCAAATGAGAACAAAAAAATTTGAGTCATTTACTCAAAAATCTCAGGCCAGCTGGCTTCACAGTTTGGACTTTTCCCACTAAACTGCACTACCTCCCAGTCAATAGTTATAATGCTCTTTGGATAATGGTGATTTTTAGATGACTCCAGAGCTCTTCTTCCATGGGGATCTGAGTTTAGAGGGTTTTCTTTGGAGAAGCTGACCCTTGTGAGTCGTGTTGGCTCCTTGTACCCATTGTGGTTTGGAACTTACTGCTTCTTTGCCTTGATTGCCTATGTCTAAAATATTAACTGCAAGTCTCTGATCTTTCTCATGTGCATTTTATTTATGAGAGCTGTGACTTAATCAGTCTATTCTAGTTTGAATGGACTAACTGGGTGGTTACTAGAAGTGGGTAGGTTTGACTGGAGGAGGTGACTCACTGGTGGTGTGCCTTGGAAGAGTTCATTTTCCTCCTCTTTCCCTTTCTGCTTTCTGGTTGGCATGAGTGGAGCAGTGCTCTTCTGCCATGCCCTTCCACCTTGAGGTTCTGTTGTCACCTTGGGCCAGAGCAGTGGAGTCGGCCAACCTTGGACTAAACCTTTGAAACCATGAACCAGAATCAATGTTCCTCCTCTAAGTTAATCTTATCAGATATTTGGTGGCAGTGTTTAAAAACTGACTAACTCGGGGTAGTATAAGAATATCTTCTCTAAAACTGGATTTGAGTTTTCACTTTGTTACTAGCTTTTTAATCTTTGCCAAATTATTTTGTCTCCTTATGTCTCAGTTTTGCCTTCTGAAAAAATAGGGATAATAAATGTCTGCCTCATGGATTTGTTAGGAGAGTGGAATGAGGGGATCAATATGAAGCCTTCACAGAAGTGCTGTGTTGCTCAGAATGTGAGGATATTTATATGTGTGTATGTGCATGCATTCACATGGGGATACCTGTGTGTGTGTGTGTGTGTGTGTGTGTATTTTTGTGGGTGTGTATGCATTTGTATGTGTATATGTGGGGTGTGTATTTGTGTAGGTGTCTGCATCTTCTTGTGTATGTTCATGTGTTGTCTATTATTATTTCATTTTGTGCTCAGTGTGTTGGTCCACTTAGGTACCTCTTTCTAATGTTTCTTGAGATGTTTAAAAACTTGTCACATTGCTTCTTTGTACTCTGGAAACTCCCTTTTAAAGGGCAAGGTCATATTAGCTTCTCCTTTCATAGAAAGCTCTGGGAAGGAGGGAAAGAGAAAGAACTGGTGAGTAAAACTGACCAAATTATGCTATATAAATGTATGAATATAGCAAATGAATCCTACTTTTATGAATAATTATAATACATGCGTCAATGAGCTCTCTTATTTGGGAAAACTGGAAATCCATATGCAACAAAATGAAATTGAATCCCTTTCTCTCACCATGCACAAAAGTTAACTCAAAATGGATCAAGGATATAGGAATTAAACCAGAGACTCTGAGTCTAATAGAAGAAAAAGTAGGCCCTAATCTCCATCACGTGTGGCTAGGCCCCCATTTCCTTAATAAGATGCCTATAGCACAAGAATTAAAACCAAGAATCAACAAATGGAATAAATTCAAACTAAAAAGTTTTTTTCTCAGCCAGACAAATAATATGTGAAGTGAATAGGGAGCCTACATCCTAGGAACAAATATTTTCCCCTCACACTTCAGATAGAGCTCTATACAAAGAACTCAAAAAGCTAAACACCAAAAAAGCAAATAATCCAATCAACAAATGGGCCAAGGATCTGAACAGACACTTCTCAGAAGAGGATATACAATCAATCAACAATTACATGAAAAAAAGGTTCTTAGCTTTTTGGTTCAAGCTTTTCCTCCTTGGCTTTTATAAGGAGAGAAGAAACTTAGAACTACATTAGGAAATTCCTTTTGAAGCTTTGTATTACTGTAAGTGTCAGGTTCTGTATTGGCTACCTGAGAGATTTTAATGATTCATTAATGTAGGCTGTCCTTATATAAGCTACATAGAAATTCTCAAGATCATCACAATTTTTTCCCTGTAACTAAGCATGGAGAGGTGTCTTGTTAATTTCTTTTGCTTATCAAAGAAAGTTTTACATGTTAAAACCCTGTATTTTTGTTTGAAGATTTCTCATTTGGAACTAAATATTTTCTAACTATTTCTAGAATAAGAACTTTTCCTTAGCGATCTTTGGGGCAAAATAAGATACTTTTTTGGGGAAGAATTTTTGGGTATAGTGGTGATGAGTTCCAGCTCTTAACATTTTTTTCAGAGAATTGTTTGTTAATCCAAGGAACTCTGAGGCGTGAATGACCCATGTCAGGTACTACCAGTCCTCTGCAGCACCAAATAAATGATGAAAAGCTTCCAGCTTCTGTTTGTCAGTGTGCCATCTGTCCATTGATCTGTCTGTTACCCTGGCACTGCCTTTTTGTTTTGTTTTTTGGTACTGGGACTGAACCAAGGCATGCTATACCACTGAGCCACATCGGGCAGCCCTTTTTATTTTTATTTTGAGACAAGGTCTTGCTAAGTTGCTGAGGCTGACCTTGAACTTGGGATCCTCTTGCCTCAGCAGCCTGAAGTGCTGGGATTATAGATGCACACCATGATGCCTGTCCTTAATTTCTATTTATTTATTTATTTATTCATTCTTAATATTTATTTTTTAGCTGTAGTGGACACAGTATCTTTATTTTATTTTTATGTGGTGCTGAGGATTGAACCCAGAGACTCGTACATGCTAGGTGAGCACTCTACTGCTGAGCCACAATTCCAGCCCCCCTAATTTTTATTTGAGAGGAAAAAAATGAGATTAAATGTAAAAAAAAAAAAAAAGAGTTAAAATATTCAGTATTAAAATAAGATAAAATGTAGTAAAAATTAAACTAAATGAAATAGTTTTAACCAAGCCCAGTGCCACAGAGCTTTCTACAGATGGCATGGGGCCCTTCTTATTAACATAAGCTCTGTTAGTTGAGGCTGTCTTTCTAAGACAGAATTTTCTAACCTGATGAATCCCAGACTAAGGATCTGATTTAGATATCTTCAGTTGGAGCCCTTCATGGCACCAGAACAACTCTTTGTTCCTCTCATGCCAGGAACACCAATCTCAAGCTAGAGGTATGGGTCTTAGGGACCTACAGGGAAACAATACATACTTTAGGTTTGGCTATCTGTATTTACTACATCAGAAACTTCTTGAAGGCAAGGACTAAATAAACTCTGTCAGTCTTTTCATCTGAAGTGCTTATTAAGATTGATAAATTGATCTTCAGTTAAGTTAGTACTATGGAAAAATCAAGTCCTTATAAGGCTCTACTTTTCTACTTTTCTCCTCCAGCTTCAAGATTGGTTATTCTTTTTTTTTTTTCTTTTGTGGTACTTTTTAAAATTGTTTTTTATTGATCTTAGAAATTTTATCTCAATAAACAGAACATCAATAAAATTTTGCTTACACTTGGCATGGATAGCAATATACTTTTCTTTTTAAAATTTGTTTTAATTAGTTATTTGTGACAGTAGAGTACATCATATATAATGGGATATAATTTCTCATTCTTCTGGCTATACATGATGTAGAATCCCACTGGTCATAAGTTATATATGTACATAGGGTAATGATGTCTAATTCAGTCTACTATCCTACTATTTATTCTACTACTCCCATACCCCCTCCTCTCTCTTCACTCCTCTCTACCTAATCTAAAGTAACTATTCTTCCCTAGCCCCACCCCCCTCCATTGTGAATTAGCATCTGCATATTAGAGAAGACATTTGTCCTTTGGTTTTTTGGGTTTGACTTATTTCACTTAGTCTGGTATTCTCCAGCTCCATTCATTTACTGGCAAATGCCATAATTTCATTATTCTTTAAGGTTGGGCAATATTCCATCATATATGTACCAGTTTTTTTTTATTCATCTGTTGAAGGGTACCTACTTTGGTTCTATAGTTAAGCTATTTTCAGTGGAGCTGCTATAAAAACATCGATGTGGCTGCATCACAGTAATATGCTGATTTTAAGTCCTTTAAGTATATACTGAGAAGTGGGATAGCTGGATCAAATGGTGGTTTATTTCCAAGTTTTCTGAGGAATCTCCATGCCACATTCCATAATGATTGCACCAATTTGCATTCCCACCAGCAATGTATGCATTCTCCACATCCTCCCCAACATTTATTGTTGTTTGTATTCTTGATAATTGCCATTCTGACTAGAGTATTTTGATTTGCATTTCTCTAATTGCTAAAGATATTGAACATTTTTTTCATATATTTGTTGATCAGTTGTATTTCTTCTGTGAATTGTCTGTCCAGTTTCTTTGCCCATTTAATGATTGGGCTATTTGTCTTTTTTGGTGTTGTTTTTTTTGAGTTTTTTACATATTCTGGAGATTAATGCTCTGAGGTGCATGTGGTAAAGATTTTCTCTCAATCTGTAGGCCCTCTCTTCACGTTATTGTTTCCTTTGCTGAAAAGAAGCATTTTAGTGTGAATCCATCCCATTTATTAATTCTTGATTTTACTTCTTCCACTTGAGGAGTCTTATCAAGGAAGTCAGTTCCTAAGCAGACATGGTGAAAATTTGGGTCTACATTTTCTTCTGTTAGGCACAGGGTCTCTGGTCTAGTGCCTAAGTCTTTGATCTACTTTGAGTTTTTGAGAGATAGAAGTTTAACTTTATTTTGTTACATGTGGTTTCCAATTTTCCCAGCATCATTTATTGAATAGGCTATCTTTTCTCTGGGGTATGTTTTTAGCACCTTTGTCTAGAATGAGATAACAGTATTTATTTGAGTTTGTCTCTGTGTCTTCTATTTGGTACTATTGGTCTACATGTCTGTTTTGGTGCCAGTACCATGTCATTTTTTGTTACTATAGCTCTGTAGTATACTTTAAGGTCTGGTATTGTGATGCCTCCTGCTTCACTCTTCTTGCTAAGGATTGCTTTGTCTATTCTGGGACTCGTTTATTTTTCCAAATGAATTTCACGATTGCTCTTTCTAATTCTATGAGGAATGTCATTGAGATTTTAATTGAAGGGGTGCTACATTTTGTCAAGTGCTTTCCTGCATCTATTGAAAGGATTATATGATTCTTGTCTTTAAGGGTATTGATGTGATGAATTACGCTGTGAGTTTCTTGAAAATAGAGACTTTATCTTACTAGTTTATGCACCCTTAGTGTCTCTCATAGTGGGTTCTCAGTACCTGATTCTTAAAGTAAAATAGTCCCAACTTCAGAGATGACTTGGAGTATAAATTCTTTATATCCTGGCTTCCTGGCTTATGTATGTATCTCTTTTATTACCTAGTGTATACACTAGCTATAGCTGGACTGAGTCAATGTATGTTGAATTAAAATCATATTGTGTCTCCTCTCTGTGCTTCCAGGGTCTGTATTCGAGTGTAATTTGCCCAGGGACAGTGCTGACCAATTTGACCTATGGAATTCTACCTCCATTTTTATGGACACTGCTGATGCCAGTGATTTGGCTGGTGAGTAATACTTCTTAATTTAAGAGTTGGGAAAAGACATAAGAAATTGAACCTGCGTGTGTCAGAATTCTATTTAACTGGAAGGTTTTTATGTTACTTATATGTAGCCTCTGCTCCAAACTCTCTGGCATTACCACTGCTCTAGTATCTGAGCATTTTCTTTGATAATGCACCATGGATCCCAAGAGTTCTGTATTCAGATAATTTTGGGAAACCTGTGTTAAGCAATGTTAAGCTGGACTGTTTTTGCATTTTTAATGTGTTTATGAGCATTAAAAGTTTTCAAGACTTGCACTTGCCTCTTCTGGGAATCTATACACTTACCTTTGGATAAAGTTTAATTTATAAGTTAAGCACTGTAAAAGATGAATAATAATTAATAATAAAATAAAAAAATTATGATAATAAAAAGCTTCTCAATAAGGGAATGATTGTATATTATATAACCCAGAACTGTTTTCATTTGTTTTGCATTTTGAGATCTTGTAAGACCAGTTCCTCTAGTACACATTAAAAAATTGTACAGATAGGAAATGTTCCTCCTGATAGGAGTCAGGAGAAAAAATGTCCCTTTATTGCGCAGGCATAGAAAAAAGTTCAGAAGTAAAGATGTCTCATGCTAAAAGTAGTTGACTCAGAGTGTTGGAGATTGATATTTCTTTTTTGATGTCTTTATTTTTTTTTTCAATATTGAAAAATGTTCCTTAATCAGAAGTTTAAGTTTTCTTTCTTAATATTAAAAAGAATAATTCTTTTGTGACTCTATTCTAACCCTCTCAAAACGACTGTTTTCTTTTCTCAGCTTCGCTTTTTTGCAAATTCTTTTACTTTGACACCATATAATGGAACAGAAGCATTGGTATGTTTCTCGAGTTTTTATAGCTTGTATAAGGACTTAGCTGATGTGAATTATGAGTTCACTGGTAAAAGAAACAGTTTCAGCTGAAAAAATAATGAGAGATAGTAAGAGAATAAACTGAAAAATCAAGGTTCTGTTTAGTACTAGGGTGAACCATCAGAGTAGATGCAGAACATTAGGATTGGAGTTTGAAAGTGTAGCATCCACCGTGGCACTGTGCCGCAGTCTGGCTGGGCACAAAATCACGAGCCACTCACAGCCTTGTAGATTCAAACAGCAATTCTTTATTCCCGAACTCACACCGGCACTCTACACAAGGTCTCACTAAGTTGCTTAGGGCCTTGCTAAATTGCTGAGGCTGGTCCCTGAGCCTGTGGGATTATATGTGTGTACTACTGCTTCTGGCCTATACTATGTTTTAATTAATTCTTAATATAGATGCCAGTTGAGGATAAGTATTAATATGTAGTCCTTAGGAATTACTCATCTGTGCATCTATAGTACTGAAAATCAAGTCTAGAGGTCAAGAACATATAGGTATCAGAGGTAATGGGGAATAGTTGGATAAAAAAAATCTCTTAGCTAAGTCGCTTAGAATTATTTTAGAAAAAAGAGTAAACCCACAAAATACACAAGAAATAAGACATCATATAATGCTTCCTCCAGGAATAATCAGAAAGTAGGACCAGTGAAGGGACTGGAGTAGTTGGAGCAGACTTTGCTCACTGAGTTGAATTGATCTAGGCTCTGAGGGTCAGGAAGGATTTGAATAGGATGACCCAAGTATCACAATTAAAAATATTGTAACCTTTCTATAATTTCCCAAAATATGGATAGGTAGGAGAATATCACCTTAAATACCACCCAGTGATGGTCATAGCTGCTGGTGGGTGTGGATAAGAATGTGAGCATACCACATGGGGAGAAGCTCAATCTCTTTCAGTCTCTAGATGCGTTTTATCTCCTTAAAAGGAGAGCTTGAACTTGAGCTTGAGAGACTTAAAGCACAGTGATGAAGAGTGAGGGCACTAGAATTACTATTAACTCTGTCCAAATCCCCAATTCTCCAGTTCCTGGCTATGAGTACTCGGGCATGTTTTTTTTTTTTTTTTTTTGTGGTGCTGGAGATTGAACTCAGGGCCTTGGGCGTGCAAGGCAAGCACTCTGCCAACTGAGCTATGACCCCAGCCCATCTGAGCCTTTATATGTGTGTGTGTGGTGCTGGGGATTGAACCCTTGGCCTTGTACATTCGAGGCAAGCACTCTATCAACTGAGCTATATCCCCGACCCCTGCTAAGCCTTTCATTATCTATAAAATAGGAATTAGATGTAAATAAGAGAAGGTATATTGCAGAGGATTTAGTATATTTCAGCGCTTAAGAATTTAAAGGAAATTATTTTAGTGAAAAAAGTATGGGCTGGGATATATAGTTCAATGATAGAGCACTTGCATAGCGTGTGTGAGGCCCTGGGTTCAATCTTTAGCACTTGCAAAAACAAACAACAACAAAAAAACAAGTATAGTTCTGACATGCAAATAGATGGATCAAATGGAACAGAGTAGAAAGTTGAGATACAGGCCCATAAACCGTAGCAATTTATTATGTTATAAATATGACATTTCCAAAATTAGTGGGGAAAAGGTGGGTTATTTAGTAAATGTTTCAAAAAACGTAGAATAGGATTTTTTTCTTCATACCTCATACCAAAATAACATTATAGATAGACTAAGAGATTAAATGTTAAAAAATGTTAAAATATTAAATTACTAGGAGAAAATATGGGGGAATTATGAATGGCTTCAAGATTGTAAATCCTTATCTAATTGCAGAAACAGCAAAAAGAAAGACTGAAAATTTTGACCAAAAAAAAAAAATTGATTGGCCAGAAACTTCACTATTAATAAAGCCCAAACTGGAAGAAAAATATATATCTGCCACTCTTAGTAAATACAGAGTTTCAGCAAATCAGGAAATGAAGTCTGTTAGAACAATAAACCTTTTTTTCTGTTCATGTCCTTTACATGAATAGAAAGTTTAATGGTTTCTATTGTGTGAAAAGATGCTTAGTCTCACTCATACTAAGAGAAATGCAAATTAAAACTTATTGAAAACTTTTAAAGCTCAGATTATCAAGGATCAGAAAGTTTGATAACATATATATTGAAAAAGGTGTATGGAAACGAGAACTCTTCTACATCAAGGGAGAGTAAATTAATATAGCTGTTAGTAAGGACTCTGGCAAGTTCAGTCAAAATACTAAATAATGCATGTACCCTCAACCCAGCAGTTTTATCTGTGATATTTATCTTACAGATACACTGAAACGTATGAAATGATATGTTCACCATCCATTGCAATATAATTCCTAATAGCAGGGTCTGGAAACAACTTATATATCCTTTAATTGGAACTTCTTATATAAGTTGTATATTCCTAAAATGGGATACTGTGTTTGTTTTAAAACCAGAATGAAGGGGCTCTACATATATAATTTGAAAGTATCTCCAAGCCATATTTTATAAATGAAACATCTATATGTTATCCTTCCATTGAGTAAGAGAAAATGATATAAATGCTTTTCAGTAAATAGATTTTCTTTGGAATAATATACAAGAGTTTAAAAACAAAAAATGCTTTCCAGAGAGGAGAGCTTTTTGGCTAGAAAATTAGAAAGGGAGGGAGACTTTTTACAATATACAACTTTTGAGTATCCTTGTCTATTAATAAAATATTACATCAGTGACCTATATTTTACTGTGATCTACAGACCAGGAAATTTACTTGAGGACTAAGGGAAAAGACATACTTTAGCAAGTATGATTCTTTTGCTGTAAATAAGTTTTCAAAGGATACTATTAAGTGGTCTTTTTTTTTTTCTTTTCAAATTATAATAGCACAAGTTGTGGGTTCAATCTCCAAAACTGCAAAAAAGGAAAGGAAAAATGTATATATGAGTGGTTCATGAGATTTTAACAATTAGCTGATGATATTTGAGAGGATTTTAGAAATTGTTTGGGAAGTTCTATAAGGTGTTGATTGTAAATCTCACTCGCACAGAAGAAAGAAATCATTGTCATATTCTTCCTTTCCAGATTTGGCTTTTCCATCAAAAGCCAGAGTCTCTCAATCCTCTGATCAAATATCTGAGTGCTACTACAGGCTTTGGAAGTAATTATGTCACAGTGGAAAAGGTAAATCTGTTTACATTGCTACACTGAAGATACTAGCTGCTGGGCTGAGGGATTGGATCTTGCATTCCAGCCTTATGCCTTCCCAGCCTCTCTTCCCTGCATCTTCAGGGGAAGACGGCATCACTATTCAGTAGCTTTACTTTAGCTTGTTTTCATTTCTTTGTGTTCTCTCCTTCCTCTGAGCTTTGCATATTCTGTTTTTCCTACCTGAGCTGCTTTTACACTTCTTCTTTCATCTGATTGATTTCTGTTTTTCCCTCCCAGCCTTCTGTGACCCTTTAGACCAGGTCAGGTCCCTAAATTGTAGACTTTCTTATGTAACACTATTCATCCTTAGGTTATCCTATCATCATATTAGCTTTCTGAAAAGGACTATGCCCCCAGTTTTAGAATCTTATATTACACATGAAGGTATTGGATAATATGTTGCAAATTAGGTAAAATAGGAATTCTCTCTCTCTCTCTTTTTAATCTTATTATTATTATTATT